CCTGGTCGCCGCCACACATGCTTAAGGCCATCAGAACCAAACAAATTAAATTTCGTCTCATCAGACCATAGGACATGGTTCCAGTAATCTATGGGCTTTGTTGACATGTCTTCAACAAACTGTTTGTGGGCTTTTTCTTGTATTGCCTTCAGAAGAGTTTCCTCCTGGGGTGACAGCCATTCACACCAATTTGATGTAGTGTTTTCTTTCTGAAAACTAACAGGCTGAATCCCAATCTCTTTAATCTCTGTAGCAATGCTAACAGCACTCCTAGAATAATCTTTCAAAGAAAGCATTTGGATGTGACATCGCGCATCAGCTTAACTTCTTTTGGACAACCTACCCGAGGCCTGTTCTGAGGGACCCTGCTCTTTTTAAAATGCTGGATGATCTTAGCCACTGTGCTGCAGCTCAGTTTCAGGGTGTTGGTCCAATCTTCTTGTAGCCTTGGCCATCTTTATGTAGTGCAACAATACATTTTTTAAGATCCTCAGAGTTCTTTTGCCATGTGGTGCCATGTTGAAACTTTCAGTGACTTAAGAGAGAGATTAGATTTGCACTACAAATTTGAATACACCTGCTCCCCATGAACACATGGGCATAGTTATACTAATGAATCATTAAAAATTTTGAGGGAAAATGAAAAGCAGTGCTCAATTTAGACATTTAGGGGTGTAATTTCTTAGAGGTGTACTCACTTTTTAGGGGTGTAGTTTCTTAGGGTGTACTCACTTTTGTTGCCAGGGATTTATTTTTTAATGGCTATATTTTTGAGTTATTTTGAGGGAAACTAAATTTCTGTTATATATGCTGCAGACAGACTACTTTTCACCAATAGTCAAAAGGCAATTTTTCAGTGCTGTCCCATGAAGAATATACTTAAATATTTGAAAAAATGTGACGGGTGTACTCACTTTTGAATGATACACTGTGTATATATATATATATATATATAATATATATATATATATATATATATATATTATATAATTTTTATTGATTAATTTTAATTAATGAATGTAAGAAATTTAACTTGATTTTAAAATTTTTTAAAAATATTAAAAAAAAAGTCAGTATATTTTAATGAACAATTAACAAATACATGTGTTACATTTCTAAGCTTTAAATGTCTCTGTTATCTAAATGGATGCTTATAGAAAATACAATTTAGATGATTTGATAAAATATTTGCAATGGATGATAAATAAAAAAATGTGTGATGGTTTTTTGAACACGTGAATTTGAAAATCCTTCCTCACCATTATCTGTCAAACCATCTATGAAAATGAAACGATCTAAGAGAAACTGAACCTAAATATCCAAGGTTTCTAAATTCAGCCAATGACAACCAAGTGTTTCGTTCTAGAGACAGTAGCACAAATGGGTCTTTTATATCTGATTCTTCCCGAGATAGAAAAATGCGTTTTGAATCTGAGAGTCCAGATGAACTGGCACTGGTGCAAGCTGCCAAAAGTTATGGCTGCTGTTTGTTGAAACGATCTAAATCCTCAGTTTATGTGCGTTTACCTGGTGAGTATATAATTTGGACAATTTGGATATCAAGAAAATAGTTTTAAATCTATATTGCATCCTATAAAATTATATCTTTCTAATCTCTATCTATCTATATATATATCTCCTTTTAATATTAAAAATAATCAAGCATCATTTGAATCAAAATCATCAGATAAGAACTTTTCAGCAGTGCTTTTCATGGTGTGTGTGTGTGTGCATGTGTTGTGTGTGTACAATGAGATGAATCTGCAAAGACAATATTAATCAAAAAAGCAGGAATAAAAAGACTCAAAAACTTATTTTGCAATGTATTTCAAAACAAGACTATATTCACAAATTTGAATGGAAAAAAGCTACTACTTTAGTCATTATAAATAATAGAAGTATTTCTGCTATTTGATATGTGCATTGTAATGACATTTTGTAAATAGTACTCAAATAAAAAAAGGCTTAATAAATGCTGCTATACTAAAAATTATTTATATTTTCTCTCTTTTAGCTCATGGTGATCTCTATGGAAAGATTCTCCATGTTTATTGTATTTTGATTAAAATGTATAAAAGAACTCCATCATTGACCTTCTCTTCATCCAAAGACCAACAATTATTTCTTATATTCCAAAAGGTGCAGACTAGTGGATCCTTAAACATCTTAAAACAATGTATAAAGGTAAGTTTTTGATATTGCAGTTCTGTATTGGCCACTATTTCAAATTTAGTTTTGTATGTCATAATCTCTGTTTTAATTGTTTTTTAACTGTTTAGCTTAAGTTAAGAAAAAAATGTTATTTTAATAGAGAAAACTAAATTGAAATTTTCATCTTTTAGAAAGAAATATCTAAATGGCAATGCATCTTGCTCACTTGTCTGGTTTCTCTTCATCAGTCAGCCTCTCCACTCATATAGCACATTTTTAACTTGAAGAAATCTCTTGATGAAGTTTGTTGAAACATCTGTTGAAGTGAATTGTCTTGATCATAAATAAAGAAAAATTTCTTGGTGGATCTGAAAATGATGAAAAATGCCTGTATATCCAAAGTTACATTGAATTAACTCTTTTGTAGTTGAGATACTGTGGCTACAGTCAGTCAAATAACTTCTAAGAGACATTCTTCACAAGAATGAAAAGCATATGGTAGCATAAGAACAATGAAGTCAGGACTCATGGTGAAGGAACTATGATTTCAGGCCTTTTATTCAATCGCCGTAGCGTTGTCAACATCTTAAAAAAAAAAACATCTATTTGGTAACTGCTGAATAAACATCTCTTGGTATTAATTTTTTTTTGCAAATGCATCTTTAATTAGTTCACTATGAATTATTTTGGAGAATTATATAATTGAAACATATATCAATGGGGCCATTAATATTTTAAAACAAATGATTATTTTCCAGTTGACCACTTTCGACATTATTCCAAATTAAATCTTTTTTGAATTGATATAACAACATTTTAAATTCTATCGTTATAATCACACTGTAAAAAATTAATGTCTCTTTACATTTTTCTCATCAATCAGAAATCCTAGCTAAAAAAATTGAATACTGTTTTAACAGGGGAAACGGCTTTTGGGGTGAATAGACAAAATTTTTGAATGGTTTCAAAATGCTGTTAATTCATCAAAGTTCCATTATAAATTAGATGTTGGGATGAAAGATTTATATATAAACATTTTAAATTGGTCATTCCTTTTTCTATGAAATACTTCCAGATCAATCTGCTGTTAATTAGATATGGACTAATAAACAAATCCATGCTATTCCTTCAACAGTCTTCTTTGGAAAGTTAGATTCTGACCCCCCCCAAGTTCTTTCCAGCAATATAGGACAAAGAAAAAGAAATGTCATTTAAATAATTTTCTGAGTTTAGCAAAAAAAACCTAGTCTAAGGATGACTAATTTTGCAAGTATTTAATTTTAAAAACGTCATTTAAAAGATCCATCAATCAAATAAGAAAAGCATTGTTATTTAAAGTAACAATAATATTTTTGTAAAACTTTCCATCTAGTCAGTTTAATATACTTTTCAATACCAAATGACCCTGTTCTTACCCTCCAGATAAGGTTAATTTTATTATGAACAAATGTAGCTTGTAGATTTTACATGCTTATAAAATCCATATTACTCAAAATGTTACAGTTGCAAAATCGCCACTAATAATAACAAAAAACTAAAGTGTTAAGAATTATGTCAATTCTTTCAGTGCACACACACACACGCACACACACATATATATATATATATATATATATATATATATATATATATATATATATATATATATGTGTATATTTAGGTGGCATATTTTCAGTTAAACAGGTTTGGTTAAATAATTTAGTCAAGTTGATTTATTTTCATTGTGACCCTTTCAAGTTTACGGATTAATTTCTTGGTAGCCTTAGAAAATTAAGAAAGATACCAAAATTTTCTTTCAAATAGTTTTTATTTTCTCAACATTCTAGATTTCAAAATTAAAAAATCATGTGTTTTTGTTTTGTTTTTTTTTGCAAAAGGCCAATATTGTATATCAATTTAAATGTCCTTTAGGAGATTGTATATCTCTGATAAAAATGTCAATATGTATGTTTGTTTTACTACAACAATGCTAACAAAAAGGTTGACATTTCAGCTGGATGAGCATAGCTCTATATCTCAGTATTTAAAGGAACACTCATGCCCACAGATTAGACAGATATTAGTTGAAAATATATCTGTTACATAAAAACAATAATAAGCAAAACTAAAAATCCTAGAAGCCTTTTATATAAGAGAATTAAAGCCCCAAATAAATGAAGTCAACTATAAGTATAGCAACAAAGTTCTTAAATATTTGTAACAACTTCATACACACACACACACACACACACACATATATATATATATATATATATATATATATATATATATATATCCATTAATTTATTTTTGTTAATCAGATCAGACATTATTCCTTATTAATATAAGTTTTATATCTAGTGGGTACACATATTTGAATATACATCTCTAAAAGAAATTTACATTCACTAAATTACTAAAGAAATACAAGTTCAATGTGTTAGGAGGCACATTTTCGTTAGTAAGACTTTTTATCTCAAGGCATGTAGTCATAAATTTTAGTATTAAAAAAACAACTATGTCTACTTAAACATGTATACTTATAATACTTATAGTAATTATATATATATATACAATATCTCCAAATGTAATGAGAATGAAAATAATATATAAATTCTAACGTTCACAGCATTAATTCAAAAGAGGGCTCAATACCGAGTGTAGAGCAATAATGATATTGTTGCACCTTTGTAGTGAGTAAATTGTTTTTGTCTATATGAAAAAATTATAATATATATGTATGTGTGTATGACCAATTTCAAGTGGGTGGTTAGTTCTGTTTGCAATTTATGGAATGAATGTTTTATATCAAACTGATGTTCATATCAGAAAAATATTTTGAATGAAATGATGTTCTCCTGAATTTGTAAATGATTTTGTTTTTCTTCTTTTTTGTAGACAATGCAGATGCAATGAATATAAAGCAGAAAACTATTCATCACATAAACAAATATGCAATACAAGGTTTGCGGACATTATGCATGGCAAAACGGGTTTGTACATATTACAATTTGTAGCACAGAAAACCAAATAAAAATGGATTTTGTAACAAATCTTTTAAGAAAATTGTTATTCACTCACCTTTTATACATTAATGTCTGGTTTTAATCCTTCAAAATATTATTTCTTGTGATTGCTTTTCTTTTTAAATATACATCCATTAGAGAGCACATCTTTATAGTACAACATACAAATGATATAGAAATATTATTGTTGCTATTATTTCCAAAGAAATAACAGTGTTTACTTTTTTAAAATTGTCCAAGTTGCATAAAAAATGTACAGTTAGTTTTAAAAAAATAAATATAATAAACAATTAAAAATTGCAATTTCTTTACATTTTTGCAATAAAATTTTTGTATGTAAAGATGACATTTTCATCCTATTTGAAATTTTCATAAAGATGTATATATGTTTGATAATGAGAACGTTTATAGGTATAGTACAATAGTGGGCTGAAAAGTTCAAAGGCTGACTATGAAGGAATGATGCTAGAGCTGTGAAATTTTGTATGCATTAATTTCAGCTCTTCTTATTAATAACTGCATTGTTTCTTTCCAGGTAAACTGACATCTGACTGTTCAAAGAAGACTTCAAAGTAACTAGTCACAAGTTCTCTTCAAAATGGACAAAATCAAGTACCTGCAGAAAAAGAGTTTATCCTTCAAGGACTTTTATGCAGACATAGTTGTTATATTAGATGATGACACCCCAACTTTATCAACAGTGCAAAAGTGGGCAGCTGAATTTAGGAGGGGAAGGGAGAGTCTTGAAGATGACCCAAGGTCTGGATGTTTTGCAACTGCCACCACCGAGGAAAACATGGTGATGGATGACAGGCGATTGACTATAAATCAAATAGCCAATGCTATTAGAAATATTCTTCATAGTGATGTCTTGGGCATGAAGCTAAACTGCAATTGTATGGGTTTTTCACAAAACAAGTTCACCTATGTCCTGGGCAGGACATTAAACTACTACCAGGCATAGTATAGGACGCAAGATGGATTCGAAACTAATTATTTGCATGAGGAAAACTTCACATACATGCCATCAGCTTATATGATAAGCCTACAAACTATCCAATTATACATAGGGTGGTGCCTTCAGAAAAAATAACATCGTTTTCCATACAAACAATCTATTGAAAATAATAAAAAAAATAGACACCTTTAAACTACCAACAAAAATCATAATCCACAAACTATCTGTTTACACAAAGTACTATGCATAAACTACCTTTTCATACAAAAATACCTATAAAATTTCAATATATAATGCACACATTTATGAAAACTGATTCCCCAAAACAACAAATCTCCCTCAATGGAGCCACCTGTTTATGATGAGTGGTGACACATGATGCCCAGAGATAGTCCTGGTGACTGAGTGAGTAACTGATCTGGTATAAGATAGCCAGGAGTTTCTACAACATGCCACTTCAGCCCCAATTTGGGACAGATGGGTGAATGGAATAGCCCAATCCAATTGGCTAGTCGCATAGTGGAAAGGACTGGTTAGGATGAAAGAGAATGGCTATGATATGGCTGTGAATCCTTACACCATGTTATACTTGGGTAGATATGTTGGGAGAATGTGGGTGCTTGCAGTCACTTTCAGCATGACTGTATTGTCTGTGTAGCCCTGGTGAATCAGGGTGAATGGGATTAGTTCCCCCTGATAGCATCCTTTAAAAAGGAACTCCAAAGTGGGTGGGGAGCACAGACGACAAATACAAAAACAAAATTATATTTTACTAACTCTTATAAATGATCCAAGAGACAGTATGAAAACTCTGAAACAGAAAGTGACAATGAAATATCAGGAATAAAACAATTTCCAATTTTTATAGTCATAGAATCATTAAAGGGTTAAATAACAAAAGTGTCAGATTTTGTGTTACAAAAGGTTATATCAGCTATGATAGAGCCAAAATCAGTAAGAAAAAATAAAGAAAAATAACATATTTCTAATTCAAGTAAAAAACAAAAAAAATGTAGAAAACATACTAAAAATCAATCAAATAAATGATATGAAAGTAAAGGCTTACCCCCACCAATTTCTTAACTCCTCTAAGGAAGTAATAAAATGCCCAGAACTATCACTCACTGGAAGAAATTAAAAATGATGACACCATAAAAAAACAAGCAGTAACAGATGTTAAAAGAATACAAATAAAAAGAAATGACACACCAATAAACACATACACTTTGACAGCCAACAAACCTAACCTACCAAAAGAAATAAAAATAGGATATACAATATCCAAGGTAGTCATACCCCCGTTAATGTCACAAATGCCAGAAATTAGGCCATTTGCAAAATCTATGTACAAAAGTACCAGTTTGTCAAAGATGTGGAGAATTTGAGACTGATTGATTATGGAAAGTGTTGTGATGATATAACCCAACTTCCTCATTCACGATAACGGACGGACTGGTTGCCAATTAAGTACGACCACAGCGGACAGTCAGGAGAGTCTTCGTTTGTTCACACCTATTGAGGTTAGCATACTCCTGACTCTGTCTCTGTATTTTGACATACCTACATCCGATTATAAAATTATTATTGAAAACCAACACTTTCTCGGGTTTACTTTGTTTATTATATCTTGCACGAGATATAACAGCTGGCGAGGATTGTAAACGTACTTACCTGCAAAAAAAATATATATATATATATCAGATTACGCTGAACGGATTTCAGAATTTAAGATTAGCAAGTCAAAGATATCTGTTGACCATCGATTAGGATTTGGAAAAACGGAGTCAAGTCAAAAGGAAACTTTTTGAAAAGTAAGAAATTTTTTTACTGTTAAATTGTGATTTGAAAAATATATATTGAACATTAACTCAAATGCGAGCCGGTCTAATAATTGATTATTCAAGTAAAAAATTACAGGTTGTAAAAATATTATGGCTGTAAATTGTCTGTTAACGATCTAAAAAAAAAAAAAAAAAAAAAAAAAATGCGAATTCTAAATAAAGTCAGGATGGAGCAATTAGTCAAAAATGACTAACATGCTGTGTACAAGCTTGCAACAACAACAGCATCAAGAGTTACAACAACAGCAACAAAACAGCACCAAGACTTACAACAACAAATATTGCAACAGCAAAAAAGTCTTGAAAAAATTCTGAAACAATTTGGAGAAGAAAAAATACTGTCTTTTCTGTCAAGGAATAGCAAATTCATTATCAATTTATTTTGATCCTGATTGGGCATTACATTTCAGCATACTTTAAACGTTTGAAACTATATTTAAAAAGAGATGTCAACATTGGTTGGATGAGGAACGGAAGTAACATTATTAGTCCAGAAACTAGGGACAAACAAGAATAGGAAGTACTCAAACTTGATATTGCCCAGAAAGCCAGAAGAAGTTTCGTTTGAAGAAACTATAAGTATTCTGTCAAAAATATTTGACGAAAGGAATAGTCTGTTCCACACGATACAGATGCCCTAAACATCGTTAAAGCAGATACTTGAGGGATTTTGTGACATAATATAGGAACAGTGAACTCTCTGGTTGAACAATTCAAGTTAGAAGAAATAAACAAAGATGTATTCAAGTGCCTAATTTTTCTTCAAGGACTAACTGATCCTAAATATAAAAGAAATTAGGTTGAGAATATACATAATGGTCGAGCAAGACTCAAAAATAACATTACAAAGGGTGACCAAGAATGCCAACGTCTCATAAACGTAAAAGGGATAATGCACAAATTGAGGAGAAAAGTGTTGCTAATGTTCGACACGTAAAAACTCAAAAAAAACTCCAAAAGCCAAAAAGATAGAAAAATGTGAGACATGTGGAAAAAATAACCATACCAAAGACACGTGTTGGTACAAAAATAAATTCTGCCAATCAATGCGGAAATAAAAAATCATACCAAAAGACGTGTGTTGGTACAAAAATAAATTCTGCCAATCGTCTGGAAATAAAAATCATACCAAAGACATGTGTTGGTACAAAAATAAATTCTGTCAATCGTGCAGAAATAAAGGACATAAATATTCAAGTTTGCCGCAAGAAAAGGAAATTACAAGATGTAAGCCTGGTATTATCAGAAAAAGAAATTCAGAACGCAAAAAAATAGAAAGTATATAGATGTGCGTATAAATAATCATACAATTACTTTCCTATTGGATTCTGGTTCAGACATAAGCATCATTGATGAACAAACGTGGAAAAATATTGGAAGACCTAAATTATCTGAAACCAAAACACTGCTAGAGGGTTTCAGGAAAGAAATTAAACTTTAAGGGAGAATTAAAGCATTATGTGGCAAGACAGCAAAACGAAAGTGTATGTAATCCAAGGGGGATTAATTCATGTCTTTTTGAATAGATATTTGGATGATACTTTTTGATTTGTTTGAACTCTCAATTAACTCATTTTGCTACGTAATAAACAGTGCAGAAAAACAAAAAAGTATTAAAAATGAAAAATTCATGAATGAATTAAAAGAAGAATATCCCAGAGTTTTTTTCTGAGGGATTGGGGTTATGTACTAAGACGGAAGTCAAATTTGAACTCAAGGAAAATGTGAAACCAATTTTTAAACCTAAGAGAAACGTTCCTTTTTTCCTCCTTAGACACAATTAATAAGAAATTGGAAAGGCTTGAAAAAAATGGGAGTGATATCTATGGTTGACCATGTGGATTGGGCCTCGCCCACAGTTTATGTTAAGAAGAAAACAGAAAAATAAAGAGTGTGCAGATTTTTCAACAGGGTTAAATGATTGCCTTTAAAATCAGTTACCCACTACCTTCACTCAGAAGATATTTTTTCAAAATTAAAAAAGATTTTTTTCAAAAATCAACCTGTCTGACACATACTTGCAGATTAAAGTGAGTGACGAATGCTCAAAATATTTGTGTATAAATACACATAAAGGTATTTATAAGCTAAATAGGCTTCCCTTTCGGCTTAAAGGTCACCCCAGCTTTGTTTCAACAGGTGATGGACACTATGCTGGCAGGCCTTGA